GTAAATTCTGCAGAGAGACTGAGGATCTATGAAATAGTGGGAGGCTAATGCAGTATGCCTAAACACTACTTCATTTATGTGGACTCAGCATAATGCTTGGCAGGCAGCAAATTCAAATAACTTCTTGTAACTTTCTGGAATCTGTTTTTCAAGTATTTGAACCCATGGAGACAAAACCCAAGGATAATAAGGGGTGACTGTAATGACCCTCAGCTTCTAATCACTAATCCTGAAGCTCATCAAATGAACTGTTTAGATCATTTCAAGCTAAATGTTAACTCCTCCAAAAGCTCCTAACATCTACTAAAATATGATATCAAAATCCAACGTCATTCAATTATGATCAAGTCAACTGGAAAAAAGGAAGGAGCTCCAGCAAGACTGGCCTCGGCATATCTGAGAGAAAAGATACATATGAAGATAAAAGGCAAAGAGAAAATGAAGGATTAAATAACTGATCTCAACTCCCAAGAGGAATAATTTCGTCACAGAGAAAAACTAAACAAAATCCCCTATTTTTATATTGCCTGACTGAAGTGGAAAGAGAAATGAGAACACATTTGGGGAAATTGGGAATTGAAATCTCAACAGCATTTAAGCTAACTTTCCATAACAAACAGTTTCCAAAAATAGGGCTGGCACAAAATTATACTGGGATTTGTACCAGGAATATCCACAGGCGTTAGAGGCTAAGGACTAGAAAGGCTTGGGAGTAGAAAATGAGATCTAAACAGTGGAGAGTTCTAAATGGAAGAAAATCTAGGCTAGATTTTTTTAGAGAAAAGCTGGGATCATCGCCCTTTAACCCCAAGTAAAAAGATAAACTAAAAACGAACTCCCTAGGGTGCAGCAGAGGACCTCTCGTTGTTATTGCTAATCGCCGGCCTCGTAGCGGTCCAGGCTTCTTCCATCCTCTGCCAGGGGCCTGTCGGGAACCTGGACAGAGTCACCCATTGCCAGCAATCGCTGGTGTCTGCAGAAGTTAGAAGCAAAAGTAAGAAAAGTAAGATCTCTCCCTCCGCCCTGAGGCCCAATCCCTAAATAAGATCTCGAAATTGTAAAACTCATGGTCAGCTGAGTTAGAATATTTTCGGGTCTCGGCTCTGGGTGGGGCCACGAGAGTAATCTGGGGGAGAAGTACTAAAGCAGAGGAAAGTAGAAAGGGCAAGAACCGCGCCACTCCTGGGTACGGAGTTAAGTGACCTCAAAGCCCTACCGAGCTGCACCCAAGCGGCTGGGGGAGGGGGGGTGTCTCTAGGATCCCGGAGCGGTGGCCTCCACACCCACGGGTCATTTCCCAGCCCAGGCACAGGGTAAAGCGCTGTCAGCCAAACGTTAAGGATCCGTTCTGGTCTCCCAAGGGTCGCGGACACCGACTCCCCAACCACCGCGCTAAAGTCACCTCAACAAGAGCACAGCCATCTTCGGTTCCGGTCTGGACGGAAGTGACGCAAGCAGCGGGGCATCTGAGCTGGGGGCGGGGGGTGAAGCCCCGAAGAGTCGTCACGTGATGACACCGAGTTCTTTAAAAGGCTCCGCGACGCTGCTCTAGGTTCTGCGCTTTTGGTGGCAGACGTTCGGAAATAGTTAGTTCTCCCCCTCTTCCTAACGGTTTTTGCCAGGACTGCAGCAGAGATTCCGCTGGGTTTAGAATCTGCCACCCGCGTACGTGTTCATTTTGTTTTTTTAAATCTCCCTTCCAATCAGTAAGAATTGCCCACAGTCTTCACTGAGTCCGAGTTTGACTCCACCTCCCTCCCTGGCCAGCCTAAAAATATCAGAGTTGGTTGGCTGAGACATCGGGGAAAAAGATACTTTGGGCTTCTTCTGGTTCTAATATGTTTTGGTCAGATAGATACACAGGTTGAGACTCACTCAGGGGAGTGTGAGATGGGTCCACGAGAGGACCTTGCAGTCACCTCAACAAGATGAGGAACCCAAGAATGGGGAACGTCTAATCAGGCCTCAGGATTCCTAGGCTTGAGCTGCTGCCTGAGCTAGGCGCCCACCAGCCAAAGACAACGCTCCCTTGTTCCTTGTTTCAGTGCTATGTGGGCAACACCCACCATCAGAAGAACCTGAGATATGGGGGAGAACCTGCTTTGATTTGTACATACTGCATATAAACAGTTTTGAGGAACCCGAGCGTGGTGATCAATTTCAGAGAATTCACGACTGGAGAGAGAAAAAAAAATCAAGTGAGAAAGGAATAAAACAATGCAAAAGTTCTTGGCCCTTTTGCAGGGAAAGGGAAACAGGCGGAGTGGAGGTCACAGCCCAGAGGAACTCCTATTCTACAGTAAAATATGTTCAAGTCACATTAATATTCAGATCTCATTTATATTTAGCACTCCCGAATTTTTACTTTCAGGATTTAAATAGCACAAATTCATTTATTTCTGAACCAAATGCTATTTTGCATTTCTATAATGCTAGGCAAAAAAAAATAAAAAAGCATTATTATAGATTTTTTAGGATTGGAAGGGACCTTAAAGACTCTATAATCCAACCTTCTACCAAGTGCAAAAATCACTTCTGAAGCATCCCTAACAGCTGATCTTCTAGACTGCTGGAACTCATCCTGTGGTAGTAAACAGCTTAATCATTACAAAGTTGTTCTGCTATTGAACTTCCAGTCATTGATACTCCTTTGGCCTTCAGGAGTATCACATTAGCAAATAAACGAAGGTCTCTTGCACTTAGCCTGTTGTTGTTGTTGTTTGGGTTTTTTTGTTTTTGGGTTTATTTTTTTCTTTTTGTTTGTGTGTTTGTTGTTTGTTTGTTTGTTTGTTTTTTGTACTGGGGATTGAACCGAGAAGCGTTTAATTGCTGAGCCACATCCCCAACCCTTTTTATTTTTTATTTTGAGACAGAGTCTTGCTAAGTTGCTTAGGTCTTCACTAAGTTGCTGAGACTGGTTTTGAACCACTGGGCTAGTTTTACTTAGCTTTTTAAGAAATTTTATTTAATATGTATGAGCTGTTGAGTTTCTGCCACCGTCTCTGAAAACTACTACAGGAGATTCAAAGACACAGACATATATTGTCCTCAACAAATTTATAACCTTAGCAAGATCCCTGAAGAAATACAACAAAGAAAGTAGTCAACACAAAAAACAGATATAACTAAAAGTGGTGACTAGATAGGAAGAAAGTGATTGTTTATAGCTGGGAAAGGTAAGAATTGCAACATTTGTTGATGATGATTTTACCTGTGCAGTTTAGGACTGGGGTTGTAGATCAGTGGTAGAGCACTTGCCTAGCACAGGTGAGACACTGAGTTCAACCTTCAGTACCACATAAAAATAAATAAATAAAGGTATTGTGTCCATCTGTACCTAAAAATATTTTAAAAGGTCTTTTACTTATTTATTATTTATGTAGGTATTGGGGTGCTTTACTACTGAGATACATCCCCAGTCCTTTTTATTCTTAATTTTGAAACAGGATTTCCCTGAGTTCCTGAGGCTGGCCTCAGACTTGCAATCCTCCTGCCTCAGCCTCCTGAGTCACCAAGTCCTATTCGCATCCCTAATTCCACCCCAAAATCTTAAAGAAATGGGTAAAATGCATCAGATTAAATCCACCCTCTTTGAGCTATCATTTAAGGCTCCTTAGGAAAAGGCTTCAACTTTTCTGTTCAGATTTATTTTCCCTTCAACTTCCCCCAAATTAAAGTGGATGGCTCAAGATCTTCCCTAAGTATCCCCAGTACATCACAAACCTGTCCAGCTCACACACGCACAAAAATGCATGCACAAAACACATTTTCTCACATTTTTGTACTTAATTTTGTTGTTCTATCTATCTGGTCACTCTCTCTGCTCTTTCCTTATTTTCAAAATGTCACTCATCCTTCAAGGTTGATCTATATCTAACATTACCTCTTAGACCTGACTGCCTCTTCCTCTGAACTTTATTTATTAAATGCAGTTTATTTTTGTGTTTAATCTCTCACATAACTTAACCTTCATAATGTTATAGCTGTGTATGTGCTCTGTTGTATTCCCAGCTCTTTGTTCATTACTAAAGCAAGCATCATGGTTTATTGTAATTGGTTGTTGATGGGTTTGTTTTCTGATCCTCTCTCCCTCTTCCTCCAAACTAAATTTTGAACTTTCAGGAGGGTCGTAATTTTTATTCCTCTTTCTATTGCCTCCATGTTCATACTTTACATATAGCATTCAGTACAATTTTGTTGTCTTGCTCTAAATTGAAATGAACTTAAACTGCAGCATAAGTCATCAAAGAACTTCTTAACAGAGAGGGAAAGGTCTAGGATTTCTTCCCTTGAAATTTCTCAGTCAAGTTTCTCTCTGGGAAGAATCTCCCAGGATGCAGGAACATTGTGGGGTGGGGGATATTCCCAAAGAACCTGGTCATCTCAAGAAATCTATAATGCAACCTATCGTAATCAAGATAACAAGAGAGTTGGGGCTGTAGCTCAGTGGTAGAGCACTTGCCTAGCACATGTGAGACACTGGGTTTGATCCACAGCACCACATAAAAATAAATAAATAAAATAAAGGTATTGTGTCCGTCTACAACTAAAAATAAATATTTTTTAAAAAATAACAAAAGATATCCTGTTTTCAGAGTTCTCTGGGGGGAAATTGCTTATAGCTTCTAGGACTCTCAGGGGCCTCCTGTCAGGCAAGGAGGCTAAGGAGAAATCACATTTCATGGTCTTTGGATTTAGGTTTCTCTGCCTAACTATCCCTCAGAGAAGTGTGTTTGTGTCCCTTTTTCTGTCCCTCTCCTTCACCTCCCTCCCAACATTCCAGCCTGGGGCAGGGGGAGGCCAGAAGACACAAAGCGCTCTGTGTGTGGGGTGGTATGTGTCCCCCCCATCCCTCCACCCAGAGTATACAATGCCCCTTCTGCTCTCTGCACCCTGTCCCCCCACCACCACCTCTCAACTGCACATGCCAAGCCGTAATTGGTTACTGACTCAGGACAGCCCCCTCATGCTGGGGCCCCAGGGGATTTTAAGCGGGTTCCAGGAACCCCCCGCTCAGTTCCTTGTCCCCCACTCTCTTCACCCCACAGATGCTCCGGGCCCTAGCCCCTGCCCCAGCTATGGCTCCTGGGGCTCCCTCATCTAGTCCCAGCCCTATCCTGGCTGTGCTGCTCTTCTCTTCTTTGGGTAAGTGGAGCCACCCCAGTCTAGGTACCTTGCAACTCAGCTGGTTTCAGCATCCCCCCACTGCCTTTGTGGTACCCCTTATTGCCAAAAACCAGTGAGCAAAAGCAGGAAGGTGGTATTGTATTCAGAGAAAAATATATATTATTTGGAGGGAGTCAGGAAAGATCTTCTGAGAAGGGAGATGGTAAAAGAAAGTTTGAACAGCATTTAGAGTGGGCATGGCTGGACCCAGGTTGGAAACCAGTAACATACCCCCAGAACCATGCTGAGAACCTGATAGGAATTGGTGTTAGAGTTTGGGAAGAAACAGGATCAAACACTGGCTTCTATTCCCCACTCATCCCCTAATAGGGCAAGAGGTACCCAACTTTAGTTTTCCAGAAATGAAAAGTCAGGGAGTATAATCTAAGGAGGGAGCCTGAAGTTGTGGCCTTAGCTCCTTACAGTTTTTGTTTTCTTGGAGCCTCACATTCTCTCTGTGGCTCCTCATCTATTAAGTGAGTGGATGGAATAGAAGGAAGTTTCTATGAGATCCCAAGATCTTGTCCCTCTAAATCTGTCTTCCCTCATTTGTTGGCCCATCCATTCCTTGCCCTCTGACAAGTATTAGATAAGCAAGAGAAAGTCAAAACAGTGGACTGAATGGATCCTTTCCTTCTCCAAACTACCCTGAGTCCTGGTGCCATGGGTGTCAGTAGGCAAGCTGGGATGAGGGTGAGGGAGAAGTCAGCAGGGGAGGGAAGTAAACTACAAAGCCCAAGGTTCTCTGCTGTCAGGTCCTTGAATCCTAAACCCAGAACCTAGACTCTTATGCGCTATATTGAACTGTTCCGGATACCCTGAGAAAATATTAAGGATAAGGAGTTAGAGAAGGGAGTGATGAGAGAAATGGGGAAAGGTAATCTTGGAGTACAGGAGGGAGGGTGAGTTCAGTCCCAACGTCTGTCCCATTCATAGAACCATTGAGCTGAACTGAGAAGGGCAATGATTGGTATTATAACAGGAGGAATAGAAGTTAGATCCAAAGAATAACCTCCCTTGTTACCTTGTGATTCCCAAGAAGGCTGTAAGAAGGAAGTCCCAGGAGGTGAGTAAATAATATTGATGCTGAGGTGGGAGATTCAGGACAATGGGGTGGGAGTGGGGGCTGTAGAATTCCCCAATATTGGCCAGATAATGGGTCTTTGTTTGGTTGCCTCCTCCTCCTCCCCCCACAGAACAAAAGGGTCTACAGTGGACCCCATCTAGGGCCAGCCCCCACACATAGTCTCCCTGGAATGGCCTTTCTTGTGTGGGTGAGTCTTGCGGGTGGCACTAGGCTAGGCGGCCAAAGAGGAATGAGGATGATTAAACCACAGAGGCTCCCATGCAATGTCATTTGAACTCTGAGCTTGGGATCTTTCTCTGTATCAACTTCCCCTGAGAAGAGTATGAGTCCTTCTCTCCCGGGCTCCCCAGTCGAAAACAAGTTGTATGGCAACCAGGAATTCAGTAGTGAGGATTGTCATGCCACGGAAGACCTATATTCTCTAGTTCTCTCCATTTGGTGGGGCGGAAGGGCAAGAAATTTGAGTTTGCTATACTGTAAAATACAGTACATCTGTTGAAAATAAGATTGATGTCAAGACGGGTGTAGTGGTGCTTATCTGTAATCCCAGCAACTCAGGAGGCCGAGGCAGGACAACTGCAAGTTAGAGGCCAGCCTGGACAACTTATGGAAACTCTACCTCAAACTGAAAAATAAAAAGGGCAAGGGATGTGGCTTAATGGTAGAGTACCCTAGGGTTCAATTCCAAGTCAATTCCCAATACCAAGAGGAGGGGTGGCAGAGAATGTTATGCAATGTGTATAAAAAAGCTCCACAAGCAAACTTATCCATTTCTTATAAGTACAAGTATATCTTGAGTTTATTGAGTTTGACAACCAGAAAAGCATACACATTAAATGGTAACTGTGGTTCTGCGAGGGGACTACAAGAATTGGTTGGAGTGAGTGTGAAAGGAAACCAACTTTATCTGTATTGCTTGGATACTATATAAAAAGAATACAATTTATGTTACCTATATAATTTATAAAAACTTTAAAACTCTGCATCTAATGGATAACTTAAGACTTGGATACTACCAGGTGTAGTGGTGCATTCCTGTAATCCCAGTGACTCAGGAGGCTGAGGCATGAGGATTGCAAGTTTCAGGCCAGCCTCAGCAATTTAGTGAGATCTTGTCTCAAAATTTTACTTGATTAATTAAAAGATCCAGGATATAACTCTAGGTTCTATCCCCAGTACAGAGAGAGATATTTTATCAAAGGGAAAGTGAAACTTGAAAACAGCCCATCTTCTGGAAGTCCCCAAGACAATCTGTTACTACATACAGAGAGCTTGAACAGACATAACATTTACGCTCATCAATTCAGTTAGTCCAGAGAGGTTCAGGCCTCAAAATTTTATTATTTCTTTGACTCAATCCTTGATTGCACTTTGGTCTCACATCCTCCATAGCCTTTACTGGGCCACATGCCTTTCTGATTTCCCCTCTGTGCTTGCAGTGCTGTGCCCTGCCCAGGCCATTGTGGTTTACACAGACAGGGAAGTCTATGGTGCTGTGGGCTCCCGAGTGACCCTGCACTGCTCCTTCTGGTCCAGTGAGTGGGTCTCAGATGACATCTCTTTCACTTGGCGCTACCAGCCCGAAGGGGGCCGAGATGCCATTTCGGTGAGTGCCTGGGGGATACTGGGGCTGGATAATAGAAAGGGTGCCTCAAAAATCAACAGAAAAGAGAACTTGAGCTAAGGAAGGAAAAATCCTTTATAAGCCATAACCCCAACTTTGACAAGTAAGTTGCATTTTTGCCACCCACAGCACTACCCTTTACAGGCCAGAATCCCTGGCCCTACCCCCGGGTGCCAAGCTTTGACAGCTTTGTTCTCACTAGGGTTCTCTTACATGCTTCCCCTCATTCCTCATAGATCTTCCATTATGCCAAAGGACAACCCTATATCGATGAAGTGGGGACCTTCAAAGAGCGTATCCAGTGGGTAGGGGACCCTCGATGGAAGGATGGCTCCATTGTCATACACAACCTTGACTACAGTGACAACGGCACTTTCACTTGTGATGTCAAAAACCCACCAGACATAGTGGGCAAGACCTCTCAGGTCACACTCTATGTCTTTGAAAAAGGTGCGACAAGGAGTTCAGAAAGGGGAGGAGGGAGACTGATAGACTGGGGAAAGAGGCAAAAAGCCCCAACCAACGATGTTTAGGCTTTGGGAGGGAGGGCAGGAGGCAGCCTTGGTTAGGAGTCCTATATCCCTAACGTCTGGGAATAGACGTGGGTCAATGGATCAGAGACAGAGATCCCGGTTCATTTCCCCACTTCTTTTCCCTTCTCTTCCTAGTGCCAACTAGGTACGGGGTCGTGCTAGGAGCTGTGATTGGGGGCGTCCTTGGGGTGGTGCTGTTGCTACTGCTGCTTTTCTACCTGGTTCGGTACTGTTGGCTACGCAGACAAGCGGCCCTGCAGAGGAGGCTCAGGTAAGGGGCGGAGCCCGACTCCCCACCCTTAATCCACTATTTCCCGTCTTGGTGGAGACCACTTCAGTAGGTAAGAGGGCCAAAGGAAAGAGAAAGCTGCGACTGGCTCTGCAAAGGTTTTGGGAGAGACCAAACCCACAGCAACCCCTTTTCCTGCAGTGCCATGGAGAAGGGGAAATTGCACAAGCCTTCCAAGGACTCGTCGAAGCGCGGGCGGCAGGTTAGCGGGACTTGGAACTTGGACAAGCTGGGGAGGAGACCTGGGAGTCGCAGGGCAGCCGTGAGGGGCGGGATGGGAACAGTCAAGCCCCACGGGATTCGTGACTGATGTGAGCATCCCTCCCCCACAGACGCCAGTGCTGTATGCCATGCTGGACCACAGCCGAAGCACCAAAGCTGCCAGTGAAAAGAAGTCTAAGGGGCTGGGGGAGTCTCGCAAGGATAAGAAATAGCGGTTAGCGGGCCGGGCGGGGGATCGGGGGTCAGGGGCAGAGTCCGCTAAAGGTTCTCAGGTGGTGGTCATCGAGATGGAGCTACGAAAGGATGAGCAGAGCTCGGAGCTCCGACCTGCTGTCAAGTCCCCCAGCAGAACCAGCCTCAAGAACGCCCTCAAGAATATGATGGGCCTGGACTCGGACAAGTGATCACCGCCCCCAGACCCTGCCAGAGCAGGGGGACCTAGGCTCCTCTTATCCCCCGTCTAGGTGCTTTCCTCCCTTGCTCCCCAGCCCTGCCCTGCCCTGCCCTCACCTCCCTTTGAGATGTAAGTTTCATTCTAAAATTCATTCCCAAACACTTGTATTGCCCCCCCTCACCCCCTGACTTTCTGGGATCCCAGGGACTAATCATACCCCTCACCTGCCCCAAGGGCTGTGTGTTTGGTGTCTGTCCCTCAGGCACTGAGAAGAAAGGGAACTTGATAGCCCCTGCCTCAATTCCAGACCACCTGTTCTTCCATCCCTTGCACCCTAGCCTGACCCCTCTGGCTCTTTCCTTTCCCGCCCCTCCCTCCCCTCCAACAAGTGACCCAGCTCCATTATCTGTCCTGTTAACACTCAGATCACCCCGATCAGACTCTCCTTCAGGGTTTATTTAGGTTGTTGATTATTTTTTATTTTTTAATCCTTTGTTTGCTTGTTTGTTTACCTGTGCCCATGCTCTGCCCTTACCCCCATGACTGAGGACCGATGACGTCATGTGGCTTTTTCAGGCCCCCAACCCCATTAAACAGAGGGGCCCCTGATCCTCAGACCTCAGCTTGATACTTCCTGATCACTTTGGAGCACTGTTCTAGGACTCAAGAACTTGGAGAAGGATGAGGGGAGAGAGAAAGGATCCTCAAAGGTCAGGGGTGGAGGAGGGGGGCAAATGAGCCTTAAGAAATGGCTTTAAACAATCAAATAGAAAGCAGGAAAAAAACAAATGGGAAGTAGGGGGAAAAGGAAGAGGCTGCTCTCCCAGCTATAGGGAATTCTTAGGAATTTTCTACATTCTGTATATTGCTTTTCAAAACTCCAAATGTCCTTAAATGTTTAATAAACACTGACATTTCCAGAAGTTTCTGGCTCCCTCTTGAATTCCTAGTTCTCCTGGGAATAATCCCTGCCCCTTCTCTCATCCCCAACATCCTATGATTCTGCCTCATCAACATTAGTTGTTGAGTTTGGTCTTGTGGTATTGTATAGTGGGAAGAATTCTGAAAAAGCTCACAAGACACATTGGGACGTTCAACAAATACCCAAAAAGCTTGTACTATGTGCTAAGCTGGGTCAGGCTTTGTTTTTACATAAGTGAAAATACACTAACCAAGATTCAGATTCTAAAATATCCCAGCCACTCTAGCTGTGTGATCCAGGATTGCATTTTATTTTATTTTATTTTTTTAATATTTATTTTTTAGTTTTCGGCAGACACAACATCTTTGCATTTCATTTTAATTTATCTAACTTTGGTAAGCTTGTTTATGCATTTGTCAGCAACTAAGATCGTGATATCCACTCTGCTTAATGCCCAAGGATGTTGTGAGAACCCATCCTATATATGGAAATCTTGGTAAATTATAAATTGATATACAACTAAGATATTGAGGATGAGTTCTTTAAAGGTGTTTCTAGCTCTTGCTTAAATAAGTACATTTTATAAACTAGCACAGATCTCTACAAAAACCCACATTTGTTTTGTTGGTAAACTATTTTCGCTATAATATTAATATCTCATTAGCTAGTTTGCTGGTATGTAAATTTAGGTTCATAATTAATATCCTTGAATCTTTAAATGATTGTGAAGACCATATATGCATCGTCTTTGCTTTGTGTCAAAAAACAAGGCTCTCAAAAGCCATTTCTTCTCCTTATTAAGACTCAAAAGATGTGATTAACACCAGCTTTGCCAAAAACCCATAGTGCTACTGTTTATTTGGGGGTATCTTTCACTACTTTTATTTTATTTTTAATTTAATTTTTTATACTGGGGATTGAACCCAGAGGTGCTTGACCACTGAACCACATCCCTAGCTCATTTTAGTCTTTATTTTGAGACAGGAGTCTCACTAAGTTTCTCAGGGCCTCAATAAATTGCTGAGGCTGGCTTTGAACTCATGATCCTCCTGCCTCAGCCTCCCAAGTGGCTGGTGTTATAGGCATGCACTGCTGCACCCAGCTGTTTTCACTGATTTTAAAAGAAACATTTATCTGAATTAATTCTAATATAAAATGGATTCTGGAGAACTTTTGGATGGGGGAGGAGAAAACAGTCAAAATCAATAAAGTTAGGAATATCTAAGTTAAAGATTTGTTATTAGTGAAGATACTAAAATGTTCATTATTCATCAAATAGTTGTAGCTGAGTACCCTTTTGAGTTTCCTGGGCTGTTATGAGAGTCAAATGAAACTTTGGGTCAGTTCTGATATATAGCATAGCCCAGAGTATCACATTTCATTACACTTTTGTTCTAAAAATTATCAGCACCTGCATTTTACCAGCTCAGTTTACCCAATTGTTGAATATTTCTGATTCCATCAGGATTTCTGGTACCCTGGAACAGTATTTTGCAAACTTTCCATTATGTGTTTTCACAATCATTCTATACTTTTATGGGCTTATTCAGGACTACTTCCCATTTTCCACAATGTAAACCATATCTTTCTCTCTTCTGCAATGAAGCATTAAGTAGAGCCTAGAATAGTGAGTCACATAAAGGAAAATAGCAATATTATATGGGATAGTTTGAATTCCATCAAATTGCTACTTTTAAACAAATCATTTATGATCCTCAGTGCATCATAAATAACAAAATTTATCTAGGCATGGTGGCATATGCCTGAAATTCTAGCAGCTCTGGAGGCCAAGGCAGGGGAATCCCAGGTTCAAACCAGCTTCAGCAACTTAGCAAGGCCCTGTCTCAAAATAAAAAATAAAAAGGGCTGAAGTTGTAGCTCAGTGGTAAAGTGCCCTGGGTTCAATCCCCAGTACCAAATAAAACAAATAAATAAAATATTAATAATAATAATAATAATAATAATAATAACATAAATTTTGACCAGACATTTGAGTACTTTGAGAATAATTTAAAGCTTTTTAATGTAAATTCAAAATAAAAAGACAAAAATTATAACACAGCTTATGAATATACATAAAAACATTTCAATAAAATATTACCAAATAGAATCCTACAAGTTAATAAAATAATAAATTATGACCATGAAGAATGAAAGAATATGTCTATAACATAAGAGGGCTAGGGTGTAGCTCAGTGGTAGCTTAATATTCACAAGGCTCTGAGTTTGATTTCCAGCACTGGGGGGAAAAAAAAAAGCATAAAGTAATTTGTGGGCCAGGTGCAGTGGTACATACCTGTAATGCCAGCTACTCAAGAGACTGAGGCAGGAGAATCATGAGTTCAAGTCCAGCCTGGGCAACTTGATGAGACCCTCTCTTTAAATAAAAAAATAAAAATGCATGGGGAATGTTGTTCAGTGATAGAATGTTCCTGGGTTCAATTCCTAGTACTGAAAAGAAAAAAAAAAAAGAAAGAAAGAAAGAAAAAAGGAAATATCATGTAAAACACTACACCTCTTTGTCATTAATATAGAAAACAAGACAGTTTATTCATTATCTCTAAAAGTACTCAACACCATTTTTAAAGAATTTAGTTGACATAATAAGTCAAGAATAAGAAACCTCTCTATATATTAGAAGAAAGAAAAAAAAACTATCTTTATTTGCAGATAGTTGCATTCCTAGGAAATCCATAAGACTTAACTAGAAAGTTTCTGAACTAATAAGTCAATTTGGTAATGTGATTATAAGATAAATGCATTGCAATCTATAATGAGAAATCAAGATAGAGACAGAAATAAGATAGGAACCCATTATTGACAATGAAAAGAACAAAAACAATCACAAGGTATATAACTTGTATAAAGAAAATTATAATATTTAGGCCACACCGTGGCCTGCAGTTCCGGAGGGAGAGCCTGCCCTCCCTGTGCCTGGAGATATGCAGTGAGCCACCCTGTGCTTGGGTTCCTTATTCACCAAAGCATGGCTCCACAGCCCAACATCAAGGTACATATAGGCTTGAGGCTGCCACGGCCATGAAACTGGGATATTGTGGCTTCTATCAAGGGATAACAATAAGGACCTGGTAAGACATCATCAAGGTCCCTGTGGCCTGGCTGCACCAGAGGGTTCTCTATTAGGGGTGCAACAGTTATCCTGTTGCTGAGGTAACAGGGAGTCTTGCATGGGGTTGCCTATCTCTTGTTTCTCCTACTAACAGCCAGCTTCTTATGATTATCCTCTCACTAGTCATATAATCTAATACCTCCATATTCTCACATCCTACCTCCTAAACATCTCAGTCAACTCCTCAGGACCCCTGTCTACCTTTAGAAACTGTAAACCATTATGCAAACCTATTGACTATAAGGTAGAAGAAAACCGAACTCATCATTTCTGATTCTAGTGACAAAACTGTAAATGTAAAAATAGAAGCTAACTCATATATGGCTGCATGTTGGGTACACTGAGTGCTGTAATATTGATCTCTCCCTTAAAAGTGAGCCATTGGTAACCCATAGGAACACTATAAGACAACAGGACAGAAGCTGTAATACCTCGGATCTACACTGCAAAAGAGGAAGATTCATAGACATTATGAAAAAACAAGGGAGAAAAGTGCCCCAAACAAACCAAGATATACAACAATAGAATAGATAGATAGGGAAGTAGGTTAAATGTCAGAGAAGGAGTTCAGAATATACATAAGTAAAATGATTTGGGAATTAAAGAACAACCTAAGTGAGAAGATCCGGGCAAAAATCGGTCACTCCAACAAAAAGAGAACAAATACAAGTTGTAAGAGATTACTTCAAGAAAGAGATAAGAGATACTGAAAAGACCAAATTTAAGATTTGCTGGGATAGAGGAAGGTTCAGAGATTCAAACCAAAGGAATGCACAATCTCTTCAATGAAATAATAGCAAAAAAATTCTCAAGCTTGAAGAATGAACTGGAAAATCAAATACAAGAGGCCTATAGGACATGAAATGTACAAAATTACAATAGATCTACACCAAGACACATTATAATGAAAATTTCTAGCATACAGAATAAGGATAGAATTTTAAAGGCTGCAGAGAGAAAAATCAGATTACCTATAAAGGGAAGACCAATTCAGATCTCAGCAGATTTTTCAACACAGAATCTCAAAACTAGGAGATCCTGGAACAACATATACCAAGCTCTAAAATATAATGAATGCCAACCAAGTATCTTATATCCAGCAAAATTAAGCTTCAAATTTGATGATGAAATAAAAACATTCCATGATAAACAAAAGCTAAAAGAATTTACAGCAAGAAAGCCTGCACTACAGAACATATTCTTGGCAAAATATTCCACGAGGAGGGAATGAAAAACAACAATGAAAATTTGCAAAGGAAAGAACTACAATAAAAGGAAAGCCAACCAAAGGAGAAACCAAGTCAAGCTAAATATCAAAAATGACTGGTGATACAATTCATGTCTCTTTCAACTCATTTTGATAAATTTTTACACATAAAAATTTTAACTACAATATCATCTTATTTTTCAGATTTTTGTTTATTTTGTAATTTTTGTTTTCCATTTCTCTTCACAAAGTTACACAAATATGTTCTTTAAAAGTTTTAGCATTTTATATGTTATATTTTAATATAAAATTAATCTGGTATGTGTGAATACATTACCTGTGATATGAGATGAGGTATATTTTACTCTCCTATAATTGAAAATCCATTATTCAAGATTCCAAGATGAAAAAAGATCAATCAGAATAAAAATTGTTTAATAAGGTATTCACAAAGGTAAGGGCAAGGTCGAGGGAAAAACTAACAAATTTTATGAAGCCCCTTTCCTTCCATAAACTTGGAGAGGTAGGAGGTGAAAGAAGAGAGAGCCATTATGAAAACCTTGTAGGAGAAGGTGACCTAACTGAAGTTTTTCCCACCAAAAGCATGAAGAAACCAACCCACAGTCTATTAGAGTCTCACAGGGAGAAATAGAACACCTCACTC